CAGTGATCCTCCCAAAGATCTCAAGAGGCATTGGTGACATCTAAGCCTTCAGCAAGAGCATTAGACCCCAGACAGTTCACTTAGGTCACTTCACCCTGCACCACAGACATGAGCACCCAAGTTTGTCCCAGGTTTGAGGGGTGCTGCTGCTAACCAGCTCCCTCTCCGTTTTCCAGGAGTTCGCCCGGAGCGTCTTCCCGTGTTTGATGAGGAATGCTGGCAGCTGATGGAAGCCTGCTGGGATGGAGACTCCTCCCAGCGCCCTCTCCTGGGGATCGTTCAGCCGATGCTGCAGGGGATCATGGACAGGCTCTGCAAGTCCAGCTCCGAGCACCCAAACAAGGGCTTGGACGACTCTACTTGAAAAGGAAGCACAGAATTGTTAATGGTGGGAGAATTCTGAACCCTTAACTCTGCAGGTGGCTTCTTCAGATGCAGCTCTTTGTGGCTTACATGAGTGGGACAGGTAATAGCCACCAGCAGATTGCTCAGAGAGGTGAGACCTCGGGGATGTTCCACCTTGAATAGTGGCCAGAGAAGCCTCCTCCGGTACAACCCTTGATGCTACTTACCCTGCTGCAACTTTTATTATGGAGTTGTGCAAATAAGGTAGAAAAATCCCCACCCTTGAACTGAAAGGGATTTATTTTTTTTTGCCAATCCCACACAAAATACCCATCAAAGAGAAGCATCTTGTGTGTTCCAGGTAGTGTCTGTGTTGCTAGAAGTTGATCACGACTGTCTTTACTCAGTAAAGTAACAACTCTCCCTGTGAACTGATGGTCTGAGGGGGCCTTGGGGCCACAAATCCCCAGTTCCCTATGGATTGGCACCTGTTCCAGTGTGTTCAGAGGAGAGAGAGAAAGAGGCTCTAGGCTAGAAAGTGTTTAGAAGCTGAGAGCATCTATCTGTATTAGCTTCTTGCAACACTCCAAATGTTTACATTGACAGGAGCAAAGCTTCCATGTTTTACCTAAGGGGGTTTATTTACTGTTCCACTGCAGTGCAAATACCCCAAATTATAAGCTATTTATCTCTTATGTACCCTTCAGCTCTTAACTTCTGTAAACAAGCTCTTTCTGGTAATTTTGCTTCATAGTAGTTATTTGAATGTCTGAAGAAACCTGACCTTTCTTTTTACAGTCTTCTGGTAAAATGGAAGACTGCTCAGAGGTTACAGATTGGTGATACTGAAACATGAAGTCATTACAACTAATGACTGTCCATGGGGAAAATGCCAATTCATTTTAATTAAATTTGGGGTTTGAATTAGTCGTAAAGGCAATGACAGTTTTAAATTGGGCTAGATATGACAGACATGTTTTAAAAAAAAAAGGTTTCTTCAGCTTTTTATAAAGTCACATGCTTGGTGAGAGCTGATTTGAGGGAAAACAGGTCATTCTTCCTTCAGTGGCTGTGGCTGCTGATCTGGTCGTTTCACTCTGGGGTCTCTAATTGGGCTGTATTGAAAAGGATAAAAAATGAGGGGGGAGGGAACCCTTTGCAAGGCAGGTCCTGGGGTGGTCCTGCTGCTCTCCCCAGGAGGAGAAAACAACAGCCTTGCCTTTTGCATTTCTGGGGCAAGAAGGGTTGATCTGAATGGACCATACCCACAGGGTGGGGGCTGAAAGAGAAAATGCACCTTGTTTATTACTCCATGAGGAAATACTGAGTTGGCAAGTTCTCCCTGGGTTTGCTGTTCCTCCCAGCTGCAGTGGCTTTGTTTCCCAGGAATGCTGCATCCACAGTAGTGCAGGCTTGTGGAATCACTGCACCTTTTAGCTGGAGTTTATTGGCTAGGGTACAGCAAAATGACCACAGATAGTCTGCCTGTTAAACAGCTTGAACAAAGGAAAGGGATCCATAACCCTGCAGTATTAGTGTAGTTTAAATTTTCCTTTCTTTGTGCAATAAACAGAATTAATGCTTTTTATATATATATAAAAAAGACCTTTTTTTTACCTGCACGTGTGGGCATTTTCCTGGCCTGTGATGGTTTTGCCAGTACAGATAGAGCCTCACCAGCAGCTCCAGCTGGAAGTGCAGCAACCCAGACCCACACAGGCAGAAGAAGAAATACTTTTCACTGCCCTGGGGCACCTTCCCACTGCCCATGACACTAACAGTATTAACTCTGTTCTGCTCTGCGTGGTGGTTAGTAACCTTATTTAACACTAGGAGAGTCAAGGTCAGTCTCTGGCAATGAAGAGAGGTAGCTTGTGTAAATAATAAATGTATGAATAAAATTGAAAACTCTGTATATGCAATTCCAGAGATGTCTTGTATAGCTTTTCCTGTGGAGCCATCTCCAGACACTTACCTGATGCCTTTTTATTGTTGTTTGTAGCTGCCTTGATGTCTCCTTTCCATCGGGTTTGTTTCTTTGCATGTTCAGTGTTGTTCATCTGCAGGTTTTCCCAAACTCATTGCAGCTGCTTCTCTGCATTTCCCCCAAACCCTGCTGGGTATTAAGTCTGCATGACTAAACTTGTTTGGAGGTGTTTCATACACCCTGTTTATCTTTAAAACTGTTTCCCCCCACCCAACCAGGATTAGGAAAACAAGGTGAATAATGACTTTATTAAAAGGTTTTACAGCCTGTAATTTGATTTATCACATTTGAGCCTGGTGCAGTGAGTCTAAGTGAAGCAGGTACCTTCTCCTCTCCCAGATAAGGCTGCCTTTATTGCCTCCAGCTGCTGAAGAGGTTTTGTTACAGGATGTTTTAATGCTGTGTTGTAAAAGAGTCCTTGATAACTGGTGCATTGTACAAGGTACCACATGGAACCAGGCAGTGCTTGTTGTGTGTGAACCCAAACCAGTGCTGGCTCTTCCAGCCAGTGATTGTTGCCCTGTAAAGTGAGCTTAGTCCCCACAGGTGGATGCTGATGTCTGAACAGTGAGGAGTCAACCTCCCCTCTCCTTTCCTCCAGGTTTGAAGGGGAGATGAGGCCTGAAATGATCTTGGCAAAAAAGCTTTGGCAGAGCTCCCTGGGGTGAGGGTCCCAGCTCTGCCAGGTCAGGGCTGGGTTCAAGCACAGCCCCAGAGGGGTGAGGAGCTTGCTCTGTAGTTCACACTCCCCAGCCCAGGTTCAGCCTTTCCCTCACACCGGTTGGGATGAGCCTGGGGATGATGCACTCAGGATCTGCAGGATCAGGAATATTCCCCAGGGCCCTGGCAGCCCCACACAGCAACGCTGCTGTTCTTGGGTCTTGCTGCCGGGGCAGAACTTTGCGTGGCCCTTCCTGGCTGGCAGCACAGACACCTTCCTTAGATCCTGCTGCTCTGAACGCTGTTAGGTGCTGTTAGCTGTGAGGGGCTGCCCGGGCTCCCCCACCCCAGGAGCCTCCCCTGGACCCCTCATTTTACCTTTAGCTCATTACACGAGCGCCTCCTTTTTTCTCTCTCCAGCAGCGCTGCCCTTTGCAGGACAAATCAGCCCTTTTATCTGCATCAACCTCCCTGGGGGGCTGAAAACCGCCCCTTTAAACCCCAGCACCGTCATTATCCTCACGGCTCATAGGAAAAATGTCCCGAGCGCGTCCCAGACGGTGCAATAACCGCCCCCCTTGTGCTGTATCGTTCATGACGAGGGTTGTGACGACGTTTTTGTGCCGGTTCTCGCCCCCGCCCTGCGCTCAACAAACCGCTCCGGCCTCTCGCCGCTACTTCCGCCCCGGGGCCTTCCTCCGCGCCGGGCTGCCCGCCGCGCCCCC